TAACTTAATTTCTTCCTTTCTTTTACGCCCTTGAGTGAATGATTCACCCTCTCTCTCTGCTTAGGATACTCTCAGTCTAATACATTCAAGCAAGGAGATCCTACAGATATTAAAGTGATGATAATTGATTCATGGACCTAACTTAAAACAAATGGAGAAAAGGCACGAGGACAAAAGAATCTCAGAAATTAGTTCAGGGGTTTAAGCATAACTATTCCTTTGTACTTACATGAAAGTGTCCATCACTTCACAGAATTTTATAATATTGTCTTGGTGAAGCCAAGGCAACAAACTTAATTTTGTTATTTCTATGAAGTGCATATTATATGCAAATCATTATTAATGGGTTTGGATTCTTCTAGTTGAGAAACTCTCTTTGACTCCCTCTGTAAACAACCTGACCTGTTTATGTACTTGATTTGATGAATCATTAATTAAACAATTCTGTTGAACTTTGGGGGTGCAAATTTTCTTAGGTTGTCATAGATTATGTGGACCAGATGATGATTCTGGTTAGATGTTTTGGCTCATCTACTTGGACCCTCTCTAATTAAAGCTAGTGAGTTGTGCCCTCAAGCTTATTTATTCTTTGCTTCAATTGTTTTCAATTTGAGTGCAAATCCAAGCATTTAGCTTATAAATATGTTGGAGTATAGAAATATGTAATAGTTTAATGGGTTTTACTCATCGGAGCCATTTCTTATTCTTTTGGTTCTATTATTCTCAAAGAAACTAGCTACTAGGTCGTGATATTCGCTTAGAATTAAAATCGCTGTGATATTGACGTGGAGGAACACATTTTTGCAAGATTTAGCAATTTTATTTTGAGAAGAAGAAGAAGACAAGCATAACAAACATTCAAATATTTACTATAAGCGGGAGCAGTATGTTAGAGTTACTGTTGTGTCCTATTCTATCTGGTAGCGCAATAAGGCCATGTTTAGCAAACGAATAAAGTGGGTGTTAAGTGAAATAAATTTGGTCCAAGTATTTAGCCCTAGTTTGGCAACAAATAAACTTTTAAACTAAACTAGTTTTTCTTTGGCTCATTTTCGCCAAACTAGTACACATAGAAACTAATTTAGTCTAATCAAGCCCATGCGAAACTGGATCAAAACTAAACTTGGTTACTTTCTAAGTTGCCAACACACCCAATATAACCATTCTATGAAAGGAGTAACGAGTTCATTCTCAATTGTTGACATAATCTTCGAGATTTTCAATAGTTCTGTAGGGATTAGTATAGTTTTAAAAGTAGAGGGGGTCATTCGTGCGTGACAGAGACACATTACTCAAGTAAAACATGGATTCAAAAATTAGATTTTATGCACAAAACTCGAGATTAGATGTGTGTTATGTAAATCATAAAAAAATATTCTGCATTTATCTCATTTAACTGATGACAGATATTTTAAACATGTATAACTTCTATATTTGGCTTTCGAGTAAGAATAGGCAGATAAATTGAAAAGTGGCTGTTAAAACTTTTTTAGTTTATCTATTATTGTCGTTTATGAGTGTTTCCAATAGCCCAATGAAATTTAGTATAGTTTGTAAAATTTAAGAAAAATTTGTTTTAATTAAAAGTTCATGTTGGGGTTATAGTATAACATCGATGCGGTTAGAAAAAGTGATAGAACTAAATTAAGACTTAGGCCAATACCTAATAGTCATAGCTTTTAGATTAAAATTGATTACAAATGGATATTCATATGTGAGTTTAGTCCCGCATTTTATAAGACAAGATTTTATACACGTGCAATGCACGTGGTTAAATATCGTGATAATTATTTTTGATTTATTTTCTTACTAAAATTTATTCCTCAGTTATACTTTGATAATTTTTGCTCACTTATATCTCTAAACTTTAACATTGTGGTTATTTATTTATTTTTAATGTTTGTTTAAATATGCTACACCAAATTTAAATTTGCATGTTGATAATTGAGTTGTCAGGAAGCAAATGTAATACGAAGCCAATCTAAATTTTCATGTTACTTAGACTAATATGAAACCAAGCTTAACCTGAGAAAGTATAGCGCTGTAAAAATAAAATAACTTGAAAAATAGTATTATAAAAGTAAGACAAATAATAAAGCTATTAAGCCAAGATGATTGATTTAAAGTGGGCTAAAATGATAGAAATGAGTTTATAAAAAATATAATAGACTAAAGATTAATGATTATTCTAGTACACTTTTATATGATAAAAGCATATACATAAGCATATAAAAATAACTAAAATGTTTATAAAAATACCTTCTAAAGATTCCTAATTCTACTCAAAAAAATATTCTATAATAATTTAGAAAACAATGTCTTTTGTTTCTTTCTATTTCTTTTTATTCTTTTTTTGTTGAGCCAAGATCAATCATTTCTCATCTTTATCTTTTTTCGGGGCAATTCTAAAGTAGTGTCTTTATCGTGTACATTAATTGTGACATCAAGTTGGAGCTAAATTTCTCATGTTGTTATCTTTTCTTAGGCTCATTCATCTTTTGGTTTCTCATCTAATTTCATAAAAAAGTTGAATGTATTTCCAATTTTTAATACAAATTTCTAAAAATATGGACTTTGAAATTGTTTTCTATTTCAATATAGAACAAATGATAATTTAATATATATGAAATTTTTTGTGTTTTTAATTTATTACATAAATAAGCTTAAGGGTTACCTATTTTTTCTCGGCAATGATTCTTATGTTGTGCATCGAATAAGATTTTATGTTGCGTCAATAATGTTACTTTTATTCTATCCATATCATTTCCCACTGGGATTTAAACTAAATACCTATATTTTTCATTGTCAATATGCTTTAGATTATAATGTTAATATTTAATTTTGTATGTTTATTTCATAAAGAAGGGATATTACTTAACCTTGGTACTGTGTTATCAGTGATTCTATAATATTTAACATTTGAACACTCATTATTAATATCTCTATATACCTTCTTGTTGTAGCTTTTATAACCATAGAACTATGGCTCAACGATATTGTAAATGGTAGTTATTTTTCCCTTAAAGATGCAATGACATGTCTATATATTGTTAAACTATTATTAGGCTTAATTGTATGAATGTTAGAGTAGGTTTTCTAAGACCATACCTCTTTTGAATGTTGTGATTGTTGCATATATTAGTAATTTGAATTTATGTTGCATTTATAAATAGCCTTAATAAAGATGTTTTAGTCTTGGCAACTTGCTCTGAATTAGCCCTGCATATTAGATTAAAAATATAATACTTTCTCTTTATTGTGTTATATAGAAGTTTTTTTGGTTTACTTATTGTTCTTTTTTTAGTAAGTTGTATCTTTTAGTTGATATATATTATTGACGCAATTTACGACAACTGTATATATTCTCTACAAATTTGGAAAATATATAAGGTGGCATTTAGTAAGAATTTTAGTAATGAAATATGTTTTCTTCCTATTTAGAGATCTTAAAATCTAATTGTGGTATTATATCATTATCTTTGATCGTGTTTTCAAGATTTGATCCTTCGTTATTAGTCATATTCCCAAATAAAGTCACATGTAGCGTCATGATACTATATAGGAAAAGAAAAAGGGTGATTTTATAATTTTATTGCTTACACAGAGTCATGACATACTAATTTTTCTTGTATCTTTCATGAAGAATATTTCTTTGATTTGGATAAAGTTGTTCAATATGTTCTTCAAGGGTAACTCAGTCGGTACTTTTTGATACATATGCTTTATGTTAATATTAATTAAAGTGATTCATAGATGTTTTTAAATTTTGAGTTTATTTCCTTCATTTTTTTTCATTTGAAATGGAAACATCTTGATTTTTTAAACGATGTTTCTGAACTTTCTGATAGTTAATTTATCCATATATAAACATTTTTACTTTTACCCTATAAATATTAGTAACATCAGTGATCAATGTTTATAAATTAAAACAATTAATATTAAGCTATTATATTATAGTCTTTTATTAGTTTTATGTGTTTTAATCTTCAATCAATTAATGGTGTTCTTGTATTTTTGCTGCTCCAATTAATTTATAAAATTATATATAGTTACTTTAATTTATACAATGACATTAATTTTTAACCTATCATATATTTTCCAAATTTTTATTCCTTAACTGGATGTTTTTGATCTGTTGTTATTATTAGTATTTACCAGCATCAACTTAGATTACTTTTATATTCTAAAAAGAGATAGTAAACATTATATTGAAAGTTAAATTTATATATCTTCATGAAAGAATATCAAACAATTACTCTTTTCTTTGCTAAGATTTGAAATTTTACATTTTTGTGATTTTTGACTTTTGAGGATGTGTTTTGTAATTTTTAAAACTTGGAGAGCATTTTTTTTAATTTTAAATTTTAAGTTGGGTGCTAGTAATTTTTATGTTTCATATGTTAGTGGTAAGTTTTCAAATGTCAAGCTATTTGTTAGAACTCTAAAATTTTGAGGATGATTTTTGTAATTATTGAAACTTTGGCTTGTTTTGTTGCAAAATTTAAAATTTTGACGGTCTCCTGATAATTTTCAAAATTGATGTGTACTAGTTATAAGCTTTAAAATTTTAGGATTTTTTGTGGTTTTTAACTTTTTAGGGAGTTTTTTAAAATTTTATAATTTTGAGGTTGTTTTTTACAAAATTTAAATTTCAGGTGCCTAGTTTTTTTGAAAATTATCTATAGCTAAATGTAAACAATATCCATGTATGGCTAATCCTATTTTATTATAATATAATCTCTTAATAATTTCAGATCATTTTAAAACATATTAACATTGTTTTTAAAGATGCAGAGGAGGTGAAGGATCTACTCATTGAGCAACAACTTACCTTTTGGAGAAGTTCTGTAAATTTATGATTGAGATCAATAGGCTAAATAGAATAATTGAAGAACTTGGAAGACATGATGAGGTCATAGACCCGGTGGTGCTGAAGGCAAATATCAAACAGAAAATTATAAAAAAATAAAACCAAAGCCACCGCTTGATGAGGAGGAACAACCATCCAAATCAAGTAGATTACATAAGGAAGACCTCATCATGCAAGAAGCTGAACATAAGATGGCTGAGGATGATGCTGAGAAGCCTGTTGATGATGTTGTTGTTCATGGATGTGAAGTTGATTTGGAGGTCACCACAATGGAAGGCAAAGTTGTGGAGGATGTTGGTTGAATGGAAGAAGGAGATTATGTTGGGAATATAGCTGAGGGGGAAGCTATAATAGAAGGGGAAGAAGGGGAGGATGTCGGCCCCCAGAAGAATGGTGAAGTGGAATCCCTTGAGAATAAAGATGAGGAGAATATAGATAGAGAAGAGGTTATTGTAGATAATAAGGTTAAGGATAATATAGATAAGGATGAGGAAAATATAGATATGGAAGTGGAGAATCTAGAGAAGGAGGAGAAATCAGAGAAGGAAGAGGAGCTTGTTGGTGGAGAAGGGGGGAATGTAGATAGCAGGGTTAAGGAAATTGTACAGAAAGAGGAGGAGATTGTACATAGGGAAGAGGAGCATGTTGGTAGAGAAGAGGAGAATATAGATAGTAGGGTTGAGGATAATGTATAGAAAGAGGAGTAGATTGTGTATACGGAAGAGGAGCATGTTGGAAGAGAAAGTGAGAATGTAGATAGTAGGGTTGAGGCCATTGTTAATATTTCACATCAGGTAGACAAAATCTTAGAAGATCTGTCAAGTGATGTGCAAATAGAGAAAGATGTAGCAGCCATAACGAGGAATAAGCCAACGTTGCGAAGGGCAAGCAAGCGGTCTAAATGGTGTCATACCCCATACACAGAGGGAAAGGGAAAGGCAAAGGGAAAGGGAAAGGTAAAGAAAAAGCAAAAAGTTACTATAGATATACTTGCAAGTCTTGATGATGTACATACAATTGACAAAGTTTCCCATTTTTATACCGGCAAACAATATCCCACTTAGGATACATTGAGTTTGAAGCCAATGACAGCTGAGGAGGAAGTTCTATTGGACAAGCTAAATAAAGATATTCTTGACCCTGCATTATTTAGCATACGTATAATAGATAGCAGGGTACTCTTGTACATAATTTTAAGATACCATCTATAGTATCAGCTAGACCCGTCGTAGCTGAAAATAATTGTCTAACCAAGTTTTTGTTAGGTCTCATGTTATGAGCCTACATCTTCTAATCTTGTTTTGATGATTACAAACAATTCTTAATATTGTTTGTCTAGTGTTTATGTTTCTTATTAGGTATTCTAGACAAACAATGTGTTGGAGGATGGATGGAATAGAGCTTCAACGATGATATCCAATGGAGGTTGGCGGAATGTCGGTGAAGCTTATGCAATTCATAGTTAAAGATCAAGTTCAAGCTTCATCCGCAAGTGTACCAAGTTGAGCTCATTGAAGACCTTCATCAAGCTTGGGTATATAGTTTATAATGTTTGTAGTTTAGGTTTTATATAAAGTGTGTTAATTCTATAAAGCTCAAATATACACACACATATATATTTGTGATTTTCGTAACTATAAGTGTTTTTATACAAAATAAATTTTGGACTATATTTACATCATAAACAACTTTTATTATGTTTATATAAATATTCCATAAGTTTTCAAAACTTGTTTTGAGTCAAAAATAAAAATCACATGTTTTTCATATATACGTCTTTTAGTACTTTTGCAGAATACAGTGTTTTTCACAAATTATAAATGCAAATTGAAAAATTCTTTTTCCAACATGTTTGTATGTATGATTATAAACCTTTCCCAAGATTTTACATTTTTTGGAAATTGTTTACTATTTTTAAAGAGCCTTCAAAAGTAAGATTTTGGACATGCACAGTGTCTGTGTATGTTCATAAGTCGACTTATCAGGTCTGATAAGTCGACTTATGAACTAGCTTGGAATATGCATTTTTTCTCTGTTAAGTCGACTTGTTCTTAAAAGTAAGTCGACTTGTAATAAGTCGACTATAAGTCGACTTATAAACTCTCTTTCTGCATCTGATTTTTCTTCTGTCAAGTCGACTTGTGTAACCTGATAAGTCGACTTATATATAGCCGTTGGCACAGTAACGGCTAGTTTCCAGCTTTGTTTATTTTAATGTTTTTAAGGATTTTGGTTGGATTTTTGGGCTGGTTTCTTCAAGCCTATAAATACCCATGTGCATTAACTATTTCCCATTAACTAAGAGGTTTTTAACAAGAGTTTTCAAGTGTTTAAAAGTTTGCTTATTCTCAAGTTTGGGTTTGGTGTTTGTTTACAAAGGAGGAAGCTTACGTTGCCAATTGAGGGATTCACCCTCAATCTTCTTCATCCTCTCTTTGTGTTCATAGAGAAGTTTTCCTAACTCTATTCCTCTAGCAAATTTGTTTTTGATTTTCATATCATCATTTATTGCTAGTTTGTTAATTGAGTTAGAAATTGTTTATACTCATATTATCACACACACCCTATTTGAGCTTGTAGCATTTCATACATCATATATTTGGTTGTGGGGTGTGATTTAGTGAGTGTGAGCTTCATTGCGTTCTCACTTTTTATTTGAGAACAAATCATTGTATTTAACTTTTATTTGTGAGAATCACTTGTAATATACTTGTACACCAAGAGAAGTGTAAGGCGAGACATAGGGTCGAATCCAATAGGAGTGGCGTCGATTAACGAACCTAGGAGAGGTAGTAATCGAGCACTTGAGGAGGAGGACACGGGGTAGGTTCCTACACTTAGTGTGTAAAGTGTTATTGCATAGTGTTTGTGTAGTGTGAGAGTTTTCGGTGATCTTGTAACCCGAGTGTGTAGAAGTTCCGGCTTCCAAACCGGATTGTGATAGTGGAAATCTCCTCGAGGTGATGAGCGGAGACGTAGGTCGTAGTGACCGAACCTCGTAAACATATTGTGTGTTTGTGTTTTGCTTAGTGTATATTTTATTCATCATTATTGTTCATATCCATATCATATTTCTTCTTGCAAGATCAAATTGATCAACATAATTTTAATTAGCTTTTAATTAGGATTAGATTAGCATAAGACCCTATCTCCTCCCCTCTAGGGTCTAACAATTGCTATCAGAGCTTGGTGCTCTTTGATTTAAGGACTAACCGCCTTGAGTTAAAGATCCAAGTTATTGTATTTGTGCTAATCTAATTTTGATTACATTGTGCTTCTTACATTTCATCTTTATGGATATGTATGATTCATCTTGCTTAGGATATGCTATTAATATTGCTCCTCGTTTGGATATTTTTCCCTATGCTCAATGGCGTATTAGATTCAAACTTTTTGTTCAATCTAATCAATTTGATTTATAAAAAATTATTGAGGATGCTTATGTTGTTCCCATTTTGTAAAAATCCAAATGGTGTGAGAATGATAAAAGATTGTTTAACATGAATAAGCTTTTGTTAGAATATTTGATTAATGCTTTTCACTCATCGTTTTCTAACAAATTTGCTAATTTTGATAGTGCTTACGCTTTATGGAAACTTATTGAAGCACATGAAGGGAAATTGGAGGCTATTCAACAAGCGTTGGAAAATCCCGCTTTGAGTTCTAAGGAAGCCTCATCTCCATGTACAATACTACTAGGTGATAACCCTAGTGAGGTATGCGATAACGATGATATTATTACTTTTGATGAACTTGCTCTTGAGTTTGAAAAATTACACAATTGCTATATTGATGTAAAGAGTAAGTATGTTAATATGAAATCCACTCATGAAACACTAGCTACTAAGTTTAATTTTATTACAAATGAAAATATAATTCTTAAAGAATGCAATGAAAATTAAAAAATTAAAAATGCTAGTTTGCTTCATGAAAAATGTGATGCTATGTTAGAAGTAGATAAGTTGAAATCTATGATGAGTAATCTTGTTTATTCTACTTCTAGTAGTAATGCTTGTTTGCACAATGATGAGTTGAATCAAATGAGAAAACGAATATCTACCTTAGATTCAACACTAAACACTTGTATTGCTAATAATAAAAGGCTTATGGACTTATGTGCAAAGTTCAATGTTAATTCTTCCAAGAAACCTATTCACTATGCACATATGTATGACAAAATTCATAAATGTTCTATTTGCGGTCTTAAAAGCCATTTAGCTCAATTTTGTCATAATGCACCAAAAATTGACAAACCTATTAATGATTGTGCATCCCATCAAGCTTTTTCATCACATACGCATGTACACACACATAGTGTAAATCATAAACATGCTCATGCGTATAAATGTGATTATTGTGATCGTTTTGGTCATTTGACCATGTTTTGTTTCGATTGGAAAAGAAACTCTCGTTTGCAAAATAATTACAAAGAAAAAACTATTTTTGCAAATGAACCACGTGCATTTCATTTTGGTCAACGTAAACCATTCAAACCTCTACATTGCACAAATTGCAATCGTATGGGTTATGTTTACAATTTTTGCTTTGATCGTATCGGTGCACAAAATACACCCAAACGGGTTCATAACCCTAAGACCTTGAATTTACATGATAGGGGTCATGTCCCTAAGTTTTCCGGCACCAACAATGATTGGGTGCCAAAACAAATTTGATTTTGTTTAATCTTGTTTTGTTTCCATGTTTGTGTTTGAAAATGTTTTAAATTTTTGTTTATAAATGAAAAGTTGTCAAATTTTTCTTTAAAATTTTATCATGCAGATAATTTATTGTTAAAATATTTAATTCAAAGATTTTCATATAATAAAAATGAATATTACATTTTTTTGTATTAAAAAATTAACTATTTTAAACTTTCTGGAAAATCTTTTAGTCATAAGTCGACTACAAGTCGACTTATAGTAAGTCGAATTGCAGTCGACTTACGGAATCTGTCTGGCTTTGGTTCGGTTCGGACCCATAGAAAACCCGACCCATCAGTAGATTTGATCTTGGCCGTCCATTAGTGAGTTGATCTAATCGCCACCATTATTGCCATTTCCTTTAGAGAGAACCGAAATGCCATCTCCCCATTTTCTTCGTTCCTCTAATCCTCTGCTCCTTCGCCATGCCGTTCTCCCTTCCCTCTCATCCTCTGCTCCGTCCATTTGACTGCTCTCCTTCGCCATTTTGGGTCTCTATCTCGTGTCTAGGTATATCTCCTGCTCCTCAACCCTAATTTAGTTCAATTTCACCTATTACATTATCTAGGGTTTTGAGTTTTGGGTTTGTTCTTAGACTGTGTTCATATTTCAGTTCTGTTTTCATCCATTATGTCTAAAAACATCCACAAACGTCGTAGAAGTGGGAAGGATCCACACTCATCATCACATGCTCCACAACCTCCCTCTTCTAACTTTGCATCCTATGAACATTATCTTAGAGATCTTTCAGCCCTTACTAAATATCGTTCTATTTGTCAACTTAAGCCATTTCCCGGACGATATGTTAATTTTAAGGACTTTAATCATTTTAGGCTTCAAGATATTTTCGATCATGTTCACATGATTCAATTTCTTTCTAGTACCAATGACATCTCCTATTATCCTCATATGGTGCATCTCTTTTATGCGAACAAGAGAATCAACAAATCCAACCCTCACAATCTCTTCATTTCCTCTATAGTTAAGGATCGTCAAATCACTTTTTGTGCCGATGATCTTTCTATCATTCTTGGTCTTTCTCGTGGTGAAATCCTCTTAAAGGATGTTATTTACGATGATCCAGCTATAGAAGCACTCTTGACCAAACCAGGCTTTCATCTACCCTTAGAATCTTCTAATGCCTCCTTCTTGGCCAAAATCATCGGTCGTATCGTTTGCTACAACATTTTCCCCAAAACTGGAACCTATAGTCACTACACCCAAGAGCTTACTAGAGCTATCTATGCTATTGTAGGGAATGTATATGTTAAATGGGGTAATGTTATTTTCGATGTCATGACCACTGAACCCAGCACATTCATTCCTTTTGGGGCTATACTCTCTCGTGTCTTCACCCACTTTGA